TACTCTTTTCATGAAAACCTGTTCGACATCTTCTTTTCTTTTGGTAATAACATTTTGCTCTACGTGTTCATCATCAATATTATCAACAAATTCACCAAATTCGATTTCTTTATAGTCACAATTTGATGCGTCTCTTAGTTGACCAATTTCATTTTTATTAATTTGAACTGTTTTAATGTTATCAATTCTCAGAATTTCATTTCCCGTGTTTTCAATTGCATTTTCATATAATTTGTTCCATTTATATTTTTCAATTTCATTTAATAAATTTTCTTTAAACTTGTCGTATTTGCTGCTTCCGCTATAATAATTCAAAGTCAAATTAAATATACGGGTTGGTCTGTTTACAAAATGGTTTAACCCTCTGTCCATCTGTTCTATTTTTTTAAGTTCTGCTTCTTCTCTTTTCATTAAATGAATCAATAGTGTCTTGAGTGTTGGCTTTTTACAATTAAGCCTTTTAACCAAAGCTGAATGGTACGACTCACTCAAGTTGTCTGTTCTCAATTGTTGGTTGAATTGTGACCACAGATTAATCGGCCATTTGAACAACCAATTATCCCTGAAATAAATAATTAAATCATTGATTGAGTTGCTGGTATTTTTGTCAAGATTATAAGATGGAATTCTTTCGACGATTTTTTCAAATTGTTCATTGACTTCAGATGGTTTCACGAAAGCCAGAAGTTTTAAGTCGTTCACAATTGTCCAAACGTTTGAAGAAGGGAAATATAGTTTAGTCAGTGATAACCGTTGTACTGCTCTCCAGATACATTGTGTAAAGTGGAAATAACATCCATGCACATTACAGTGAAATTTGAAAATTGAATTTATAACTGCAATTTCAAAATCAAGCATAATACTTGTTTTTTCATTAAATAATTCACTGTCCCACTTTTCTTTAAAATGCAAATTGATATAATTAAAAAGTGTATCATAATCACTTTCCCGTTTCTTTGTCATTAAAGCGTGAACAAGAGTAAAAGACTGTCCATTAGATAAAATTGCGTGGATTGTGTAAAGTTGTTGATATGTATTTGGTGCTGAATTAAATGTACCATCCATACACAAATAAATCACTTTTCGTTCTTTAAGTTGAGTTACTTTTTCGTTTGATATAAGAATAAACACATTATCATCTTCTTTTGTCGTGTATTTTCCACTTTCCAGTAACTCTTTCATTTTATCTTCGATCATTTCTGCTTTTATTAGATTAAAAGTTCTTCTAATTGAAGTCTGTCTTCGCTTGTCATTGGGATGGTCGTTATTATATTGGTCCATCAGTTTTGTTGCAGACATTAAAATGTTGGTTCCATTACTAATAATATCACGAATTGCACCATGACCTTCATTTTTAATAGAAGGAAGATGAGAGTGTCTGGTGTGCTCAGAATCTTTGAATTTGTAATCAATGTATTTGATATCATCTCCGTTACCATTCATTTGTGTAACAATTATTTTTACATCACACTCCCGACATTTGAACACCGTTAAAGAATCATTTTGTGGATAAAACACAAAATTGTCTACAACTGGTAACATTTTGTAAATCCCATTTTTCGTAGGTTTCTGACTTTTAACTTGGTGGAGTTCGGGGTGATAATCTTCCATTTGATAATTACTTTATTTGATTTCCTTTTATTGTTACAAAACAACACAATTATAATTAACTTGTCTCTTCTAAGATCAATTTATTAATATTGAACAATCATATAAATTAAAATAAATAATTGTCTCTTTGGTGTTATTGGCTATTATTGTTGATATTAAAAAATATCATTGAAAAATAAACGAATAAATTATTTATATAAAAATAAAATAAATATTATTCGCTATATATTTGACGTGTTTTTAATTTCATGTTTATAATTATAATGGCACCATTTACTTTTTGTTTACAACTAATGTTTATTAATATATATAGATTTGTTCAATTTTGACAATATTTTTCTTTTGACAAGTTATATTTAAATAACAATTATAAACATGTTTGATTTTTTTATGTAAATTAAATGCATGTTTCATTGAAGAAATTATTTTTAACCGAACATTTTATCCTAAACATTTTTATCCCAATCTTTATATCCCCCACCCAATAAAAAAGCAATTTATATGGCTGTATAATTTGGTATAAGTTAATATTTCAATTTTTTATTTTACAATTAGACGACCCTTTTTTCTTAAGCGATTTTTAAATGAGTGTTTTTGATATTAAAAAATATTTAAAAATAAAATATTGGTGTTTATGGATGTTTTAACTTGATTTAATTTACAAGTACAATCACTTATTTTAATTCCTGTTTTTAACAGAGTCGAATTACAATACCAGACACCATTCCTCGTTATAATAAATGTTGTTTTATGAATGTTTAGTTGGAATTTTACATAATATGACAAAAAAATGTATGCATGTATTTATTGATGTGCATTTTTATAACATTTGTATTTGTAGAAATACAAAAAATGGAAACCTGTACATTGGTATTTATCTCATTTATTGTAGAATTAATACAAAAATAACGAATTCTGTTTTATGAAGTTGTTTATACAACTTTTACCATTATCATAAAATATGACTAAAAACAAAACTTTTCAACGTGTAGTGATAATAAACTAAAGTCGTTTACAATACGAATAAAAGTTTTAAATTGATATAGACGTTAATATTAATATAATTTTATATAATGCATTAAAATACAATTTAAGTCATGAATAAGAATACATCTTATTTCTTCTCCTTTTTTTTCTCAGTAGCATCAGCCTTTGGTGCGGCTTCTTTTTGTGCAGCTCCCTTTATTCCTCTTTTCTTTGGCGTGTGTATTTAACGAGTAAAATGCAAGTTTCTTTTTTATCTTTTATAGAATTAACATATTTGTGAAATATGACAGCTGTGTTTTATATAACATAACGAATGTATAGCAGAGAAAAACAGCAAATAATTTCAATCCAAAATTAACAATACACGACATATGATATGCTACAACTAAAAACATCCCAATATTACACTTTTCACTTTTATTAATATAAAAATATGATTTTTTGCACGGAAATAAAAATTCAGCAGATCACAAGAATTTTCACCACTAATCATCATCACCACGCAGACCATGTCATTATTATAAATAACACACCAAATAAAGAACAATAATGTGGCATCTAAAATTCCTGATTATTGTACAAAATACAAGTTTATGTACTTCCAAAATAATTATTATATTCTATAAAAAAAACAACATCTTACAATTTACGCATTAAATACACATGCCAAAGGAGGGAGGAAAGAAAATAGCCGCACAAAAAGAAGTCACACCAAAGGCTGCTGCTATTGAGAAGAAAGATGAGAAGAAGTGTATTCATACCATTAATTAATTTAGTTATATGACTTATCATTATGTACTTTTTGTATTATCAAAAGTTGAATTTTATAAAATGCAAAATAATAAATTTTAACACTAAGTTGTTTCAAAATTTTATGCAAGCATTTATATTTTTTATATTCATTTTACTATATGAAAAATTAAAAATGTATATGAATTGTCATAAATATGTCAACTACAACGTTAAATGTTACAGTTTTTATTGATGATGTAATTTACCAAACTTTTTATAATATTTGTATTTGGTGATAATAAATACTTTGTTGACAACCGTTTCGTGGTTTTACAACAAACTAAATTACAATTCATTAGAAAAATAATTATAAATACGAATCTTATTACAAAATTTTTCTTATAGTAGAATGAATTAATTAAAATATAAACTGTTTTTCAAAAGTCGGTACTGTCATATTTTTAGAACTCCCTAAAATCCCGTTTTTTATTTTTGTTTTTTCCTAAAAAAATAAAAAACAAAAAATCGAAAGTACCGACTTTATTTTGAAAAAAATACCAATACTGTTCAATTATTTACGTACAAATTCGGGAAAATGTTGGAATATTAGCCAGCCTTTTCCAAAAACCCCGATCCCGTTATTTATTTTGACCTCAACTCGATACTTCCCAACATATATTCAGTACTGTTGGCCTAAAAGCACAACAATTAATGTTTAAGTGAATTTGGATGGTGTTGTTTGTGTCGAGTTTTAACTGAATATTACTCTCGTTAAAATTTAATTGAAATTTAAAACAAACTTTGGTTATTTTCTTTTAATGAAAAAAATAATGAAATAAAGAGTTCCAAAACCAAAAAAAATAAATTACAGCAAATGTTTGATAATTTTGACAGACCAAGTCAAAGAACAACACAAGAAAAGACGATAAAATGATAAAAAAATATTTTTCTGTTTAAAATATTTAAAAAAGATGTTCTCATTGAAATGCTCAAAAAGAATGTCGACTTTATAAAACCCAACAAAGATAAGTTATCAAATCATTTTGATATTTTTATTGTTATTGTGACAACACTATTAAGCATACTAATTTTCTAACTAAGCTTGTTTTGTGAATATTTTATTAATTATTAAAATGTTTAATAATGAAAAAAATTGACATTAAATTTATTTGCTTCTGTACTAAAATGCACTTTTTGGACAATTCACCTGTATTTCAGAAACAAAAATCCCGTTATTTCAAATTTTATATGGATTTTTTTAATGCTTAAAAATTCTTCAAGTAAAAAAATATTTTTCGAAGACTGTTTTTCTCTTTTTTACTTGGAAAAAACAAGTGATTTTTATTACAAAAAAACGATTCCCTAAAATAATAAACAAAATAAATGCAAAAAATCGGGACACCTCAGTACCGACTTTTGAAAACCAGTTTATATTATCCAAAAAGCAACACGTTTTTTATCAACTTCCACAAGTTCTTGTCAAATTAGCTGTCTGCACGGTAGTACTAAAAACAACAGTTTTTTTTTATGCTTTTTAAATCAATTGATTTTGAATTTTAGTATTTTGATATTTATCTTTATTTATCATAAAAATAATGGTTTAATTAAATTGTTAATATAAAATGAAAACAAGAATTATTTAAACTAAAATAAATAAACTGAAAATTAAAATGTCTTTAGAAATTCGTTTTGCCACAAAAGACGACATAAATGTATTGATTTCTATATATACAATAGCTCGTAACTATATGATAACCCATGGTAACCCAACACAATGGGGTGATGTGTATCCAACAATTGAACAGATTACAATTGACATTGAAAAGAACGGATTATATGTGTGCACTTCAAACAATATCATTTCTGCTGTTTTTGCTTGTTTTCCTGGACCGGACCAGACTTATGGTGAAATAGAAGGTAATTGGACTAACAACTTGGAGTATCACGTCATTCATCGAATTGCTTCAAACAACACGGTTAAAGATATAGGAAAGTATTGTATACAGTGGTGTCTTAATAAGTTTAAAAACATAAGAATTGATACACACAAAGACAACAAGAAAATGTTACTTTTGATGAATCAAATGAAATTCACGTATTGTGGGATTGTGCACGTAAGAAATTCCGAAAGGGTGGCGTTTCAGAAATTAATTGATTGATTTTTATATTTTATATTAAAAAAAATATTTTAGAAAATATTTTCAAAGTTTGAATTTTAAAAATAATTAAAAGTCCAATTCTTTAATTTGTGTATATTTAATTTTAAAATTAAATTTAAAATTATTAAATACTAAAATCAACACATTTAAAACCCCAAACATTAAATTTGTAGTGATTTTATAACTGTGTGCCATCAACACAATTGACTAATTGCTCTTTCATCATATTTAAATCGAATTTAAAAGGTTTCTCTCCGTAGTTAATCACAATTTTATTAAAAGTATTCATTGAAACAGCAGCGGCAATACTGTCCGCATCAAACTTGTTTTGAAACACTATTTTCCCATTACAAGTAAAGAAGATGTCACACTCTGTTTGAAATACAACAAAAACTATCCCAATACCAATAACATTGCATGTCCCTGTTTTTTCACCATGTCGTATACCAGTATCATATACATTGTTAATATAATCCTTGTATATAATTCCATCGTCGCTGTGATACCCACAACTCCTTTGCTGCCAGCCAATCATAGTGTTCTTATATCCAGTATCTTTTGACGCATTCGTAACGCCAACAGCTATTAGGCTGTTTCCAGTCACTTCAACTTCAAAATATCCGACGTTTGCAATTGTCTCTTTCACGTTGTTCTTATTGATAAATCGCATTTTGTCAAAACTGTTATACCCATCAAAATATTGATATGAGACAACCATGTCGTACATGTCTTCTTCTATTTCTTTGTTTCTTATAATTTCATAACCAATTACTTCGACACGCGGACTCATTGAAACAAATTTGGACATATTCCACTCGCCTTCTTCTATTATTAAAAGTGGAAATTCAATAACAGAGTTGACACTTTCAACGAGTTTTTTTGTATCATTTTTATCGGCATATAATTGAAGGTACTCAAGTGAATCGATTCCGTTAAAAGTTATTGCCGCAGACCGACTTAAATGGACAACTTTGTTTTCAAAGTTGATTTCTGGCAACGACACGTAATCTGATTCGATCACAGTAAGTCTTTTGAGATTATCAAGTTTTTCTTTGAATGTGATTTGATATCCTTTAAAAACAAAAAGTGTCTTTGAATTGTCAAGTTTACAAAAAAAATTGTTTTGTCGACATCCCACAACTCAATTTCAGAAAGGTTATTCATTTTGCACTTCTCGGTGAATTTAATTGCAACGGCATTTGTCACAGAGAGGCTTTCCAAACAAAGAAATTCGTTGTCAAATTTTACTTCAATATATGATAGAATTTTGAAAGTTTTAATGCAAGAGAAGTCGATTTTAAGAACACGTGTATCAACATTATCACCATCTACATCATTGTTTTTAGAAAGCAAAGTAAGATGTGAGACACTTTCAGGAACAACCCATGTTGTCATCATTTCTTCATTTGAATATCTAAATTTAACAGATGTGGAATACCAGTTTTTAATGATTGTATTGATGATTGGACTGATTGTAGAACCCTCAATCTTAATCATTCCGTTTTTACATACAACTCGTTCACTGAGTTTTTCACACATATTTGAAACACAAATATCGTATATGTATGTCGTTTCCTTATACAAACTAAGAACATTTTTATCCTCTGTGTGATACTTGATTTTGATGTTCACAGTGCTTCTTCTGTTATCGGGAAGTGCATGTTCTAGCCACTTTAATTTATTGAAAAATGTTGTGTTCAATTCAATTGTTTTTCATCATCCGAAAAGATAATAATTATCTCTGGAAGGTGTAAATACTTCTCTTTTCCATTTTCAGTGTAATCATTGATAAAGTCAAAAAAGAAGTTCAAATCTACACGCAGATAATTTAAAGACGTTAGGAATTTTGTGTGTTTTGTTATTAATTTGGCACATTCCAAACATGCGTTATAGTCGTTATCTTCAGTATCCAAAGATATCAAAGACATTCGAGTCACTTTCGGGAATATATTTTGAATAAATTCAGTTGTTAATAATCCATCTTTGAATGCATTTGTAAAGTTCACATTGCAAATTTGCTTTGGGAGTGTAAAAAGATCCATAGAAATAAATCCATAAAACCCAAACTCAATAGTGTCAGGTAAAAAGTGTTTGTAAAACCAAATAATAGTAGACTCTGTAATAAAAACTGGATTTACTTTTAATGAGCACAAAGAAGATAAACAGATTTTGGAAACTTGAAGAAAAATGTATTATATTTTACGACTTTTAAAATTTAATGCAACTTTCATCAAAAAACCATTTTTAATTTAATTGCCATTTCATGTTTTATTTAATTTATTGATTGTTTAAAATTGAGACAAATAAATATAAACAAGTGTTTAATAGAGTTACCAGTCTAATAATATATTGAATTATAATATATGATTCTAACGATATGTTAAAAAACATTTAAAATTATGTTTTACTAATTTACATAAATATAAAAACATGAAAAGCTTATTTTATAGAAAAAATTGACTTCATAAAACCAACTAAAATGCATTTATTTTTTTTAATCTAACAAAGCAGTTAAAATTCAATAACTAAACTTGAGCAATTTTTCCTCTCTAATGTTGCGCTTTAGATCAACGCATTGGACAGTCTTTATAATTTTGTGGAAATCAACCACAAGTATAAAAACAGTTTGCAAACACTCCACATAAATCCATATGTGAAATTTGACGGCTATCCACTTTTAAATCGGTCTGTTTATTTTTCGCAATTTAAAAAACAATTCAAATTCTATTTTGAATTTATTCCAAACATTGAGACTGTCCAATGCTCACATTCAATGCTAGGTGCCAGACTTAAAGACTATGGCGTTTTAGACAAAATTAAAAAGATCCGAGTCGTAGACTTTTAATAAATTCCATTTGAAAACTTCGAATGGATTTGGTTATTATTGTAACGAAAAAGATATATACACAAACAAAAGAGTTTGGAGCAAACTTGAGTGTGTTGATTTGACCAAATTTTCAGGTGTTGCGTATCAAGATAGATCAACGTTAAAGAGTCTTGTCACGGTGAGATGCACAACACTCCGCCCAAAAATACTTTCCAAAAATGCAAACTTTTTGTTTTCTCCTCAAATCCACAAAATTGTATTTTACGACGTCGTTTTTATAAACTTTTTTGATGACTTGAAACATTACGTCGATTTGCGAGTGTCACTTGGTGGAAAACCAAGTGACATTTGTTTAATCATTCCCAACTCTATATTCCGAATTATGATGAACACTCAATTTTTGGAGAAAATTGAATACTTTAGAAATCTTGGTGTTGTTATATGTGACTTGGGAAAAAAAATAATGATGAGATATTTAGTGTTCTCGACGAGATAATTAAAAAGCGGGTGTTTATCTATGGAAAGTATATTAGCGAATATAACAGGTTTGATCAGTTCAATTATTGGGAGGACGATCTCAATGTTAAATCTAATAAAAAAATGTATTTAAACTTTTTAAAGGAAGAAAAACAAGAAAACAACTTTTTTGAAGACTTCAAAAAACGAAATTTAGAAATGGTGGAAAGGCGTGCGAGTAAAACAACATATTTAAAATCAAACTTGTCTGGACTTATGTTTGCCAATTACGTTCTTCATAAAAATGTCAGAGAAATCTTCTTTCCACAGCGTGGAATGGAACAAATGGTTTTAAAAGGAGTTGCTAATGTTAAATTGGAAGAATATTCATGTCACAGATTTGAGTTGAATAAGTGTATGGATGTTGACATCTACCTCAAAAATACAAATTTTGTGAGAATGGATTGGGGGTGTAATATTAAAATACAATTAAAAAGCAAATGTGATTACTTTATAGTTCAACATGTTGACGGATTGAGCATTAAACAAGACGGAGACTTTCCTTTGTTGTTGACTCAATTTTTTGAATGTGAAAATGTTGAATTTTTAAATATAACTTCCCATCAATTGATATATGAAAAGTGCAGGAATTTGAATTTCAAAAACAACTGTTTTGAAGTTGCATATTTCGTGTTTTGTTGCAACTCAAATTTGAGTTTACAACAAGACGTTTCGACTCGTAACAAATTCAAATTAAAATTACAACCAAAAGTCGTGTTTTTGAAACTTGAAGGGAGTTGTGTTGATGGTCTTTAAAATGGTACAAAAAAAAATACAGACAGCGACTTCTCACAATTTAACAACACTTTTATCAAAACACACAAAGAGCTTTTATCTCATTTCTACTCAACCGTGTTTGTTGGCAAAAACATAATTAAAGGGACAGTGAATGACCCACAAAAACTTGCAAACCTACCCAAATCACTCCTTTTTGTTTTAAAAATTGACGCATTCAAAAAAAGGAGTTTTTGATGTTGGAGAAACTTAGAAAGTGATTTTGAAAGTCCCCAGTGGCAGTACTTTTGTGTGTGAAAATGTAGAAATTGTAGTATGGGAAAAACCAACAGATAAGCCAATAAGAGTTATTTCAACTACATTTATTGAAAATATCGAAACTTTGGATATTCACAAGTATTATAAAAAGATAAAAAGTTGTTATAAATATGAAGAGCCGGAAGATGAGACAAAACCCAAACATTGTAATTTTTGCACTACTGAAGACTATTGTTGGTTAAATGTTGTTGATGATAGTAGCAAAGAAAAAAGTCTATTAAAAAACACAATAATTAATTTCGATAAATTGCCATCTAAAAGTATTACAATTGTTGGTAAAGTCGCTAATCGTGTTGCACTTCTTAAAAATTACATAGAACCGTCTTTTAAAATTGAAAAAGGAAATTTTGACACCGCAATTGTTGTTTGTGACTTGGACAACATGAAGTCCAACGACTTTAGTAATATACAAACCGAAGAAGTCGTTTTAAGAAAGAGCAAAAAAAAACATTTTGTTGGGGTTTTTTCATGTCGATTTAGAATCTCGTGTATATTGTCCTTATAACCCAAGCCTTAAAATGCCAAGGCCTGGATTTTACACGAATTACCCACAAACTAAATTTATGCAACTACCTAACCCACTATTCTATGCTAAGAAATATGACTTTTCAGAAGTGAAATTAAATAAAGCCACAAAAAGACTCAAAAGTGGTGGTTTGAAATTTGAAAAAGTTAACCGTTTCAGAAAAATTGCAACAGATAGTCGACGAACTATTTATGGAAATTACATGATTGGTAGAAATTGTTCAAAGTAAGTTGGGCGCTTTGCTCTAAAATCGTGTGTTTGGAAACTGTGGTAAAATTAGTTGTCATAAACTGCAAAAATCTAACAAAAGTTGTTCTTTCACCAAACACAAAATATGTTCACCTTCAAAATTGCCAAAATCTCGTTGAAATTGAAGGAGCAACTCAAAAGACAAAAATTGTTGTTATAAAGTGTGAAAATTTACCACATGAAATAATTTGCAAAGATGTTGAACATAAATAAACACTATTTAACTTTAAATTTATAAAACTTAATTTTTTTTAGTTAATACTTATAACCCAAAGCTTTTTTTAAGAAGAAATCTAAGTAAAGTGAGGCCAGAAACCCATAACCATTTTCTTTTTCTTTTTTGAAAAGCTGTTGAATGAAAAAAGGTTCAGTCTCAGTTTTGGCGGTATTTAAGAATGTTTTTGTAATTAAAATACAATATAAAAACTACATGAAATTAATTTTAAATAATAAATATAAATTATTAGGAAGTTAAAAATAAATATATATTATCCTGATATTTCTAATGAAGTGATTAATAATATTTTGAACACATTTCAGGTATAATTTTAATATAATTTATAAAATGTTTTGATTAACAAATATAATATAAGGTTCACTTCCTTAATTATTAATTAGTTTAATATAGTATCTTAACTATAGATTGTTATTCAGTTTATTAACCATAAAAATACTAATGAGTAATCAATATTTTATTTCCACTTTAAACCCATTTCTAATAGTTAATAAATTGTATTTATCAGCCACTTAAACATAATAAATAACATAAAAAACAAACAAACATTAGTCGCGCGTAATTTGCATTATCTAACTATTAATTTATATGCGTTATGTGTATAAATAAATAAATTTGCCAAATGATTATGATAATCAGCAAAAACTCAACACAAACACATCTCTGTTGTTTGTGTTGAGTTTGAAGATTTGAACTTGTTTATTTTAATTTTTAGTTTTCATAAAAGTTTTTTAAAAATAATGGTGGATATAAAACCCATCTAATTTTTCAACAACTTAAATCATTTTAATAGTTTATATTAATATAATTATAATAATATGTATAGTTTGTTAATGGTGTTTTTATTATTATTTTGATTAAAATTATTTAATTTAATTTAAATAATTTTTTGATTTGTAAAAAAACAAATATTAAAAATATAATAAATTTTTATTATAATTGTTAATGATTGTTATAATAAAAAACACATTCTGTAACTTCTTTGTATAATGTTACAGTATGATAAAACTCAGTGATACATTATAGTACTGTTGATGTACATTCGTTTGCATATCAAAATTTTTGTTTTTATTTACAACTTAATAAAAAAAGATATGTGTCAAAAAAGACATATCTTGACTTATTTTATTGTTTTTGAACTTATTTTAAAAATGGTAATATTAAACACACAACCGAGCTATAATATAGCATCTTCACGAAAACTTAATTGAATTTGACTCGTGAGTATTATAGATATAAAAGAAAATATTTTGATCAAAAATAATCATTTGTTTCAAAAAAGCAAATTTTTGAATATTTTTACTATACATTACTATATTATAGAATTTGTCTTGTGAAAATTATAAACTATTTTTAGAAATTGGGTTTTGATAAACTATTACAAGTTAAAAAATATAGTTTAAATCATTAAACTATATATATAGTTTATATAATAGTATATTTGTTTTTTGAATAAACACAAATTTGAAACACTGTTATAATAAACTAAAATTACGTAACAATCCGGGAAAATTTTTGTTCTTAGATAGTTCATTTTGAATCAAACTCAAATCATTTTTTATTTTTGAATAAAAAACACCAAAAAGAAGAAAAAGAAAGAAAAAGAAACTATAATAACCCGACTTTTTAATTATTTCCGTGTTTTGGAAGTAAAAAACACAATAATTTGGGTAAAAGAAGAAAAAGGAAAATGGGTGCGGGTTATTCTCCAGGTGTGGGTTTCTAGCCTCACTTTTAAAAAATGTCCAAATCATATTTTAAAATTTATTCAAAACCCCTTTCTTACCTAAATCGGCCATTAGTCAGTTTTATTTTACTTAAAACAATTCACGAATAAGTACTCAATTACTTAAGATCCATCAAAAAATAATTGTTTGTATGAGATTTTGTAAGAAATGTTTTCAATTTTGACTAATAAAACGAGACACTTTAAATTAACCTAGACTTCCAGCCCGCACCCCAATTATAGCAACAAAAACACGATTTTCAATAATCTCTTAACCATAAATTTATTTTACCAAAAAAACCAAAAATTTTGAAAAAACAGTGAAGTTAATCAATCTATGCCTTTATTTCTAAACGTGTCAACACTATGTTATTTTTGTCTCAAAGTTTTAAATTTTGATCTTTAAATATAAAAGCAATCTAAAAAATACACAAATTTTAAAATAGGGTTATTTTGAAATTTAAACCCAAACTTGATTGAATATAAACAATTTTTTATTTAACAAGAAAAAATATTAAATTGATTATAAAAAAGTCAAATGGCAAAATAAATATTTTGGTTAAATTGTTTGAATTTTATCTTATCAAACAAATACAATACAATTTAATGACAAGTCATTGAACAATTAATTAAGTTTTTTAGTGTATTTAAAACAGTCATAATCGTCGAGACGATACAAATTGTTTTTTATTGTTTTAACACATTTAAACAAAATGTTGACTTTGTTAAATAAACATGGTTTAAAACAGTGTCATTGATATAATTATTTAATGTTTTGGATATTTTATTATTCAAAAAGGTAATTTGCCGATTAAGAAAGATTGTATTATTTGATTAGCAAACTACAACAAAAACAAATCTAATTTGTTTTTAAGTAAGTCTTTCATTAAAATTAAAAATAACTGTTATCAAGTTAATAGAAACTTTTCATAATAAAGAATAAGATTGTTATAACATACTTTTATTTTGTAAATTATTTATCTTTTTAAATACAATACCATTTATCATATCTTAAACGTAATTTAATTCTTTTTATATCACAAGAATTGAAATTAGTAATAAATTTATTATAAAAAATATTTTTTTGTTTCTTTTTTTTTATTGTATGTTGTTTATACAAATTCAACATGTTTTATTGTTGACCATATAACGTTTAAACTAACATTTTGATTGTTTTAAATATCCACAATCTATGAATTGTGGATATTATAATTTAATTTATATAAAATTGAAATTTAATAATATGAAAAAAGTTTACAAAGAATTTAATGAAAACAAATTTATTTATTATGAGTAATGTAGAGTGGGTCAATATACATTATTTAGTATACATAATAGCTATAAATTTATGCAAACAACATAGATTAGTTCAAATTAAAAAAAACAAAAAAATGAGATAAATTATCTAAACTGCTTCTTTAAATACTACATTACTTATATTCCAAAAGGTATAGGATATTTTTTAAAGACTGATAGTATTCAATATAATATAAAATAAATATATTTTTATATTGAATAAATATTGATCTGATTGGTTTGTTGATATTAAAAAATATAAATAACAGTTTTATTTATTTGATTGTTTATCATCTGTATATTTTAACAATAACTGTGTAATTTGTTGAGTAATAAATTGTCTTATTTGTTTGAGAAAAAAACAATTTTTAGAATGTTAAATGAACAATTTCCATCTTTAATTTTTTGTCTTAGAAATTTTTTAATAATGTTTTTGAAACCTTTTTACAGATTCTATTCATTTTTTGAGTTTAATTCTATTAAAAAACTCCAACAAAAAATAATAACAAAACATATAACAAATATTGTGTTTGCAAAAACGCAGGCCGAATAAAATTGATTTTCCCGTTGCAACCGCGGGTTTCCTTACCGTTATCCTAAAATAATGGCGGGCCGGAAGTCTAATAATTACAGATGCAAGAAAAAGTGGTTGTCACGAGTATAAAAAAGTATTTTTTTATTTATTTTTAATAATTATAAATTGTTAGTTGTTTAACAAGCAAATTTACGGGAAAGCCGTGGTAGTTTTGATTGATTTTTCAGAAAGTGGTTGTCAAAAGGATGAAAAATTTAAAAAATACTATTTTTATATAAAAACAGAAAAAACACAAAAATATTTTACTCATTTTCAAAATCAAAATTGACTAATCATGTCGTCTTGATATAAAATGAATTGATGTTGGGAATGTGTAATTTATTATGAAAAAGTTGGGGATGTGTTAATCAAACAAGCAATAATCCCGATTATCAAGTTTGTATATTTTAAACGTTGAAACCAAATTATTAATCATTAGGCATTCATTGATAAACAACGTGTAATATGACGCTATATTACAAATATAGCGTCATATGACATTTCGTTATGAAAACTGTTGTTTGTGTTCAAATTAACCAAACGTTTTGTGCTGATTATTGTTTTCATTGTCCATATCTCCTACTGTAGTAAGGTTCACCAAAAAACACAAATATACATCATTTAATAAGTTTTTTTAAATATATAATTTTTATAATTGTAAAAAGTTTAAAATATTAACATTATTAACATTTGTTTAATGCCTTATATAATAACATAAAACAAATTAGTTAATATTTATTATTTTATTTAATAATCGACTTACTCAATACACTTGAAGACTTTTTGGGAAAAAATCGATTTTTTTGTTTTCAATAACATTATTTTCATGACAACCACTTTTTCCATGACTACCAATAATTTTTCTATCTGTATTCTTTAACAACTTTTTGGGTTAATAACTTGTTTATCAAGTATTCAATTTGTACAATTTAAAAAGGGTGAACAGTTATTTAATTGATAATATAAAATTGTTATTTAATACATCAAGTATTTAATAATCGCCAAGCTTTTATTCCGCCTTCATTCTGTATTTGTACAAATTATAAAAAAATGAAATTGTATTGAGTCAATTATTTGACATTATCTTGTTTTTAAACTTTATTTTGTGGACAGAAAAAAGCTTTAATTTATTGTAAACATCGGGCATTAGGTAAATGTTAAAAAAAATTAAAACAAAAAGGATAATTTTTGGGACGTTTTCCCGAAATATTACAATTTTAATGGTCCAAATAGAACCAGATAAGTTAGAGAACAAATAACATTTGTAAATTGACTCTATTAAACAACCAGTCTTTTGATTCTGTTATAAAATAACTATAAAATGAAACTCAAAACAAATAACACATTGAATGAATACCTCTTTAGACCGGTACTCAATGATGATTGTTTCAAAATATTTTAATTGTTTATACCACTTCGAAAAAATGGTTTTAGTCTGCAAAAAGTTTAAAGAGATCCCACTGATGTTTCATTTTAATCCAATTCAATGGAATCCAAAAATGGTTAATTATTTCGAAAATGTTGAAACTCTTCACCTTTATGACAAAAAAGACGAATTTGTCCCTGGATTTTTTCAATATTATGTGCATTACCCAATTGAACTTTCCAGATACAAAAAGTTGAATAAGAAAATAAAAGTGATATGCCCACATATCACATTTTCTTCTGGTGATTTACAAAACAACTGTTCATATAAAGAAGCATCTATATTATCACCATATGCGTTTAAATCAAAATTCAAAATATTTACTGATTTGGAGTGTTCTAATATTTCTAAATTATCCATAAAAACCTTTAAATACAATAAATTATTGAACTCAATTACACTTTCTGATCATATCAACACAATACCCGATTTGTGTTTTGAGGGGTGTGCTTCCCTTAAAGAAATTAATTTAAAAAACGTCAGTGTACTGGGATCAAAGTGTTTTGTTGGGTGTGACACACTCTCTGCTCTCACATTTTGCTCAAATTTGACAAAGTGTGGTAAATACCCATTTTACGACGTGTTAAATATTAAACACGTGACTTCATTTCCTTCACAAACTGTTGAATTGGAATTAAACGTGTCATGTTCAAGTGTATTTTCTAATATCAGGAAAACATTATTTATCACACAAAGTGATGTTAGAAGAGGGGTTTCGATTGACTGTGAAGTTAATGAAATCTGTGAATCCGCTTTTTCTGGAAATAAAAATTTGAGTGATAAATACATTGCGCCGACAATCAAAGTAATTCGCAAAAATGCGTTATCTGATTGTGATTTGAAGCAACTTGATTTGTCGCACATGGAGGTTTTTGAAAAACAAGAGAACCTAAAAATGATCACTGCACTCACTTTGAATTCGAAGAGCTATTTTAACAATTTGTATCAATGCAATTCGTTACAATCAATCAAAATTGTTGGTACTCAATCTGTGAATTGCAAAGCCGCTTGTTGGATGAAGACTCTAGATGACAGAAAGAATCTAATAGTTGATGAGTATGTGTATTCCTGTAAGGATTGTGAGTTATTTAATGGGCTGTTACCATTTGATATCACAAATTTAAAAACAATAGAAAAGGATGTAAGATTAAAAGATTTGGAAATTGACACTTATCAAGTCCCAGACAATATATCTTTATTATATGCAGAAAATTTTCGTGAGTGTAAAAACATCAAAAAATTACTTTTACCAAAATGTCTTAATACTCGTTTTGACTTTTCAATATTAGAAACAATCAAAGAAGCAGCTCTACCTTATAAAATAAATAAGAACATATATTCAAGTGGGCAATTGACATCAATCACATTCCTTGACGACGATTTTTTAAATAACCAAAGAATGGACAACATTAATTTTCAAAACCTTAAAAACGTCGAATTTTCACATCCATTAACAGACGGAATTTATCGTACAAATCTCGATTACAGAATTTTTAAGTTTTTAATTAAAAATTACAAAATTGAAGGAGAAGTAGTATTGTATGATGTTATTGAATCGGATGTTAAAAATGGAATTTTAATTATTCCAGACGAAGTGACTGTTATAAAGTGCTATTCATTGAATCGGTGTGACCATTTGAAAGAAATATGGGTTGGTAAAAACACGCGGTTGATTAAAAGCAATTCATTTCATGACTGTAAAAATCTCGTGTTAGTCAAAAATTTAAAAAAATCAGTGATTGTTGAAAAGTTTGCGTTCAAAAATGCAAATCCAAATTTGTATTTCGATATTATTACCGTATATCCTTAAAACAGTTATTTTTTTATTTTTTTTATTTTTCAGCAAAAAAAGGCTTAATCATTTTTCCATAACAATAAAAAACAACAAAATATTGATAATAGGATTTCGACAACTTGCATATTTCAACTTTTGTTCAACTGAAACTTGTGTTGAAATGAAGAAATGAAAATCAAATATTACAACAACTTATTATTTCCCAGAAAAGTTTTAACTCGTTTTAACAAAACTGAATGTGAATTCTTTTGTGATGGTTTTGAACCTAGTTTTTTCCTTTGTTTTGCTATTTTTGGGTTTCTTTAGTTTTTTTTTCTTTAACTCTTACAGTTTTAATACCATTGTATTTATCAATAACCAACAATCCAGGTGTTCCTTCATCACCAAATTTAGTTTTATTTGTATAAAAATCGCATTTGTTTTGAATTGTCACAGATAGTTTTTTAAAAACAATTTCGTCTTTTCTAAAAAAAGAATATTTTATTAGTTCAAGTTCTACTAATTATCTGATATTAGTGTCAACAATTGAATAGTCTTCATTGTCGTTGTTTTCAGGAAAATTTTATCTATGTAATTATTCCTTTAATACTTCTTTTTTTTAATAAATTGTTAAAACAATTACAAAAAAAATAAAAATTAAATTATAATTAAAGTCAGGAGGCACCAAACTTCAGTTTTTTTTCCACGAACAGAATGTTTTTCAAAAATGGTTGTGTTGAATTACATTTTTACAAAAATAATATAATAAAAAACTTTAAAAAATGGTAAAAACGTGGATAATCAAAAAATTATTTTAAATATAAAATGTGATACTTATATTATTTTGATCATCAAAATCAAGGAATTTATTAAATATCAATATAATTATTTTGAAGAATAATTCGTAACACTCATTTATCACATAAGTTAAATCAACATGTTGTTTTATTATTATTGTCATACTAAAACCACATAATCAAACCATTGTACAAACCCAACCATTTTTGTTTTAAGAATATATAACTATTTTATATAATGTAGATTTGCAAATGTATTCATTCAAATTTTAAAATTTATATTCAAACTTAATTATTTTATGTAAAAACATGTTCATCAGATATATTCTTCGCGATTTATCTCTATATATTTAAAATTGTTTCCTTAATTATAATTAACACGACATTTAAATATAATCTAAATTTTAATTTGCGCTTATCTACTTAAATTGATTAAATAGCATTTAAATATTTTCATGCGGATCTAAACACATTTTTCATTGAAAACAAGGGGATTTACCTTTTACACTTACACCCTGCTATAAATACACATTTTTTATTTAAAAATAAAACATTTTTTGTATTTTTTGTTTTTGAGTCTTGAAAAAATAGGGTTTTACTTTTTCTCGTTTACATCTAAAAAAATAAAACAAATAAAAAGTTTTATATAAAACGTCATTTTTTTTGTCGCATGTTTTGGCGCAAAGTAAACGTTTTGATTTATTTTTATTTAACTATTAAACACTAAATTATATAATAATAAACCATACTTTTAATAGTTACGAATCTAAAACTCTTAATTACTAAATGAAAAAACACTCAACCAAAATCCAAGTACTTTTTACTTTCGATGTCAAAACAAAAGAAGGTAACCCTAATTTGGTTAAAGAAGGGATTGAAACCCCAGACAACATCATCGATTCAATAGCCAATGCGTTTATTTTTTTACTACTTCAAAACCCAATCAAAAACAATGGCAGAGGCTTCAGCTATCTCTGTTGCTAACCAGACATTTTCTCTCTTCGTTACTAAAAACAGCGATTCACAAAAACTCAAACAGACATTCCGTTGTGTTTACCAGAAATGTTATTTCATATATGATAAAAGTTGTCTTAGATGGTGTTAAGAAGTTTGTTTTTATGTTTATAGTTATTAATATTACATTAAAATGTTATTTGTTTTTAATAGACAACATAGATGTATTGTATTTATTGTTAATAAAGTTATAATACATTTATAATATTTCAATAACTTTTCAAAAATAATACTTAGTACGTCATACTTTTTAACATTTCATTGAAGAAAATGTAGTATATTGGTTATATTTTTTTGAATTAACAATTTTTTATAACAAGTTATAATGTCATTAAACAAAATACACGAAATGCTTTAATGTATATAGTAATGTTCAAAAATGAAAAGTTGGTTTACTCTTAAATTGAATAGTAAATATTTTGTATGATCACGACTCAACAAGCTGCCATGAACTATACATTGTTGTCTTCGAATAATATATCGTTGTATTTCTAACAATATACAACCATTAAAACACAACATAATATATTTAGTAATTAATTGTTGTGAAGTTCAATACTTTATCGTGTATGTTGAATATGAAAATGCAAACTGTGTTGGTGGCAACATTTATAGTGTCTTCTTTGAGTGTTCGTTCGGTTTGGGATACATAAAATATGTTATTGTGGTAGTATTTGTTGGTAAACACATAACTCATGTAAATATATTTTTGTAAATACTGCTCGTCTGACCCCCTTTTCTATATGTTGATGACTTAGAGTGCTCAAAGTGCACAAATGTCGTTGTTGTAAAATGTTTCGGTGATGGCTTCTACAACAAAGACAAGTCACTCAATTGTTAAAAGGCACATCATTTATGATATTATATTTTCAACGTCGAGTTCAACAATATGTTAAATTTTTGAAGTGACATTTCCGGGTTATCTGCGAAATGATATTTAAATATGTGTCGTATTTGATGCAAAAATCAATCATTGCACTAGACTAGCTGTTCTTAGTAGTGTTTAAAACACACAAATTGAAATCAAGTTGATACCTTACATATACCTAATCTTTAACATTCTGAGACAAATTCCGACATACTTATTTATTACGTTTGAAAGTCTATACTCAATTCTAATGTTAAATTTTATCAAAACGAAAAATGTCAAAATACACGGAACGCCCATACACTCATCAAACAATTTGACTGAAAAAGTTTTCCAGAAGTCACTATCAAACAAGGTGTTACATTGACTTACTCGGAATTGACACCAATAAAATCACAACTGAGTGTTTTCAAAGTATTTGGAAATGATAAAGCACTGATTGGAAACCCCCTTTTTATCATTGTCACTGATTTGACTTTTGAAACTTTGTAATCAACAAATTCTATCATCAATGTGAATAAATTCAACTTAGAATGTCTTAATATCAAATTTTCATCAAAAACCACAACTACACACATTCTACACATTCCACACATTACTGCCAATGAGTGGTGCATCTCTTCCTACAGATACTTTACTTGTATGTAATTCCAAAACATTGATTAACAAATCAACATCGAAATCTGTTTTTCAATGCCCAATGATGTACTTTGCACAGTTACTGACACGGAAAATTGCCATAGAAAAGACACCAGTACAGAGTATAAACAGAGATATAACATTGAAATTTCAACCGCCGTGTATAGTGTGGTCATATATGAAAACAATGCAGAGATAACAAAGGAATATGATATTGTTAATGTGAAACTGGACGGTGTGACAATTCAAATAATGAAAGGTGGCATTTATACGTTGGACATACACATGAGTGGAGTTAAAGTGATGTGTATTAGTGATGATGCAGATAGTAAAAAGTGTAAAATTGTAATCAATACTTATGTTGATACAAATTAAATTAATTTACTTGGAAAGAACATCATTTTGGAGGAAGACCTCAATATTGATAATCTGATTTCCTTTGTCAAAATAACGGGAGACGTCTCTTTGAGTACATTTGAAGCAACACAAATGTATATTGAAATGGTTGAGAAGGGCATCTTAAGAGTGGAACAATATGCAATTTTTGGATCACTTTTACTTGTAAAAATTCAAACATTTATGCATTTGAATCGTTCGATACTTCACTCTTACAATACATGGGTGGTGAAATTGTATTTGATGCATCAGACAACCAGGTTGTTTTGAACGTAAACAGGTTTGAAGTGAACACCACATTTGTACAATCGGCAAAGGATCAGTGCATCACTCCGATTATCAGAAAGGCATTCACAAATGGTGAACCTATGAACATAGACGCTGTATCAGAACTTGTGTGGAAAGGTTCTGTAACATTCACAGAACAGGGACAATTGTGTATTACGACTGTGGGTTTTCAAAACTCGAACATGTCAAGCACTCTGTAGCAGTTTGGCTGTGATATGTCTTCCAGGTTGATTGCACCAAAGGTGTGATGTATTTGCTGCACAAACTCTATCATCGCACCAGCATCAGCCTTCCCAGCAACCTTCGAGTCAATGCAGATGGGAACTGCGTCAATACCACCTAAGTACTTCATCAGCAACGCCTTCCCTTCCATCACACCAAACCCACCAGCAGGTGTCACATCTCCATCATCAAGCACTCGTGTCGAGTCCGATACAACACCAACAAAGTTGCCACACATCGTATACAACAGTGATGAGTCGTTGTCGTCACGGATGTTTGTTGAAATGCGAGATACGCCGGGAGTGTAGTACGCGTTGAACCAATTAAACCCACACAATGCACTTCGGCATGATCTGGATCTTCCTTCGAAAGAATTTGTGTGCCTTCTCAACAAGTGTCTTGTAAAACTCAGTCCGTGCATTGAGTAACTAGCTAATACTTGTAGAGAGGCATATCACAAGTGATACGCCTCTTTAAGTGTCGGGTTTTACAAAATATTGTACTTTTATTGTGACACTTCAAGTTTCACTGCGAAATGTCTTCTAAATACGTGTTGTATATGTTGCAAAAAAATCAATCATCGCACTGGGCTAGTTGTTTTTAGAAGTTTTCAAGACGCTCCAAATTGAAACCATGTAGATACAGCTCACAAACTCTCTAATCAATGCTCATTGACATTTTTTCAACATTCTTATTTATAACAAACAAACAATTAATTAATTAATAAATTATTAATATTAAATAAAAGAGTAATTTCTAATTCAAAAAACAGTTTCTCGAATTGTGACCACCTTGACCACACTTTTTACAGTGGTATACTCTTTTGACCAAAGCGTTTGGTTCAACTTTATTCAAACCCTGACCATAAACATATGGTTTTGGTGGAACTACTCTTCCTGGACGCATCAACGTTTCTACCATTATTCTGGGTCTTGGTCCTTTTTGAAATTGTCGCGATGGTTCAGTCAAATTGTCAACAAAATTCTGGGTGCTAACTAGCGACTTTCTCTTTTCAATAGTGTTACTACTTTCTTCGTTTTTTTTTTATAAAAATCGACTTCCTACCACTTGTAGATTTAGTGACCAATAAACTGGGTCGGAGTCTTTTCCCTGTTTCTTCGACAACAAATTCTTCAATGTGTTCAGTTTTCTCGTTTTTTCCTTTCAAAACATTGTTGACAAATTCATAATATCTCACTAAAAGGGTGTTGTCATCCTTTAAAACGTTTTCTATTGCTTCAAGAGCAAAGTGTAGATCACGTCGACTTTTTGATGGCTTAACTGTCTCATCAATGAGCTTGTTTTAGTTGAATAAACACGTTTTGTCATCTCAAAGAGTTTATCATTGAAGAGAGTAACTGGAAGTGGGAAACACCACTTTATAAATTACAGTGTAACCAAGTGAATGCAAGGGTATTTGTTTTCTATGAATTGGTCGCAGTTACACGAAGATAAAGTGGTGCCATCAACAATCATTTCCATACCATTTATTGCGTACCTATACTCTGTCATGATTTTATGTATTACATCTTTTGGTAAAATGTACAATATATTTTCATTTATCACCAATCGAGCCGCATTGTAATCAAAATAGAACTACAAATCAAAAACTTATGCTGTCTGCTTCAAGTAGTTAAGCCAGTTTAAAAAGAGTCACTTCTTTTCCACCAAACTTAAGTTTAAAAACTCCGAAGTATCCTTCTATCTCATTTGAAGTTGTTCTGTTTGAAATACACTTAGTGACTCTTGGTCTCCAGCAATCCATCACATTAAGTAAACCTTGAATTAATCGAATTTTATTTTCGATACGGTCTTCGTTCTTTTCATTTTTATTCACCAATTTTAATTCATTAATTATTTTAAATAGTATTTGTCTATCATTTAATATAATGTTATCCTTTCTTCAATTCTTTCATTTTGATCAGTACAGAGATCCGATCCACTCATCGTCATTAACGTTTTGACAAAGTCTGTTTCTGATACCGTTTTATCAATCATTTGAAACCACATATGAACAATATTTGACTTTTCACCAAAGGCAACGATAAAATCTCTTGCAATATGCCTGTGACAAAAAACGTATTTGATTCCAGAAAAGACGGAAGAAAGTGTTGAAATCTGTGACATACACCTATCACACACAACCAAATTAAATTTTCTAAATTTAGAAACGAATTTGAACAAGTTTAAAAACGAATCAGTTGTTCTATCTCTTAATATACCATAAAAAATAATATCCGTTTTATTTTTTTCGTCTAAAGACACTGCTACTATTAAAGGCAAATTGAATACATCAGTTAAAGCTGTATCATCTATAAACATTCTATTTGAATAATCAGTTGAAATTTGATTGACGTTGAAAGCAAAAAAAGAAACAAATTGTCCTGAAATGTTTTTGGTAAAGTGAGTTGAAAATTGGTTAGTTTATTTTAACGTACAAAAATAGTTGTTGTGTTTGATCTGGTGAATATTTATTGAATGAAGATGAAATAAGAAGTCAAACTACTGATGATTTGACTGAAAGATTCATTGTAGTGACAATTTGTGAAGGGGAATAATGTATCATAGCAAGTTTTTTCATCTCATTTATTTGTTCCTGTGAAAAAATAATTCTCATGTGTAATGGAATATCCGTCGTAAAGTTATGGGAGTGATTATTTGTTATAACTATATGTTTAACCATTGTTTTATTTTCATTCAAATTCAAACAAATAGTACAATAACATTTCTGGTAAACACAACGGAATGTCTGTTTGAGTTTTTGTGAATCGCTGTTTTTAGTAACGAAGAGAGAAAATGTCTGGTTAGCAACAGAGATAGCTGAAGCCTCTGCCATTGTTTTTGATTGGGTTTTGAAGTAGTAAAAAAATAAACGCATTGGCTATTGAATCGATGATGTTGTCTGGGGTTTCAATCCCTTCTTTAACCAAATTAGGGTTACCTTCTTTTGTTTTGACATCGAAAGTAAAAAGTACTTGGATTTTGGTTGAGTGTTTTTTCATTTAGTAATTAAGAGTTTTAGATTCGTAACTATTAAAAGTATGGTTTATTATTATATAATTTAGTGTTTAATAGTTAAATAAAAATAAATCAAAACGTTTACTTTGCGCCAAAACATGCGACAAAAAAAATGACGTTTTATATAAAACTTTTTATTTGTTTTATTTTTTTAGATGTAAACGAGAAAAAGTAAAACCCTATTTTTTCAAGACTCAAAAACAAAAAATACAAAAAATGTTTTATTTTTAAATAAAAAATGTGTATTTATAGCGGGGTGTGGGTGTAAAAGGTAAATCCCGAAAACAAGTCTTAGTATTTTATCAACAAAAACAATTAATATTTTCAACTTAAAACTAATTGCTGTTTGTTTAATATTGAAACATTATAAAAGTATGATTTCTATTCATTCTAAATCATACTTTATTTCAAAACAAACACTAAATAAACAGATAGATAAAAAAACATGTAATGTATGATAATAAAAAATTATTTTGATACATTTTATGTGCATTAGTTTTATAGTTATCTTTTGAATAATAATTTGTCTCTGATACACACTGATTTGATAAAATGTGTTGTTGATAATTTTTGAACAAAAAATATGTGGTTCTTTTTTGTAATTATTTATTTTTAAAAGCAAAAAACCAAATATTAATCAAAACATTTAAAAACAATTATTTGTGGAAAAAAACAAAAATTTGGTGACTCCTTATTAAAGTGAAACGAGAAACCCACACCTGGAGAAAACCCCGCACCCATTTTCTTTTTTCTTCTTTGAAAAGTTGTTAAATAAAAAAAGGTTCAGTCTCAATTTTTTGTTAATTAAGAATGTTCTTATAATTAAAATATAATATAAAAACTACATGAAATTTCGACTGGCCAACCGCACTAAAATTAACCCCTAAATTTAATTTTTAAACCATTTGAGCATATTTTGACTTGTTACTTTTCTTTTTACTTTAACTAGTAAACAATAATAAATTTAGTCATATAGATTATACGTGCAAACGAAATAAAAAAATGCTTTAATTTATATATTTCAGCTCAAAAGTTCGTTATTTTAATAAATAATAAAACAAATAAATAGAATGAAGTATTAAAATTATATGAGCAAAATATAACAAATATTCATTTTTGTAATAAAAAAAATTATTCTAAAATCTGTACAACTTGATGTTTTTGGCATTTTTTGTTATGTGTAAAAATGATAATCGAATTTTTTTCTCAAAAGCAAATTACCAACAACATGATATTCAAAAACAAAAGATAAACAATAAATGGGATAATATATTTAAACAAACTTGTAAATTGGTTTAAAAATTGTTAAACATTATTTCATATTTTGTACAAAAAAATAAAATACATGTAATTTTAAAGAATGAAGTTCTTAACATAATAAACAATTGTAACATCAGATGAATTGGAAATCATGATTAAAACAATTTGTGTGAATTTTAAATCATGATAATTTAACCCAAATTATAAAAAGTATAAAATTTGCACGTTATTATTCATTTGTTATAATCACAATGCATTTTTTTTAATTGAAACGTTATTTTGAGAATGAACAATGATTTAAACATATAAGTGGTTAACAGTTACAAAAAATAAACATAACGTTATATTTTAAATTGATGAGCCTTTAATTTATATTTTTGAAATAAAAGTTACAAATCATAATCATTATACATTTTACTGTTATATCATTGTAATTAATTGACTGCACAATGATTATGTATTTAATAATGTTGTAAAACCAATTGTTATATTCAATTTAGATAATATTAATGAAAATGATTATTGAAAATAATTTATAAATCACATCATTTATTAAAAAGATGATTACTTTTAAAGAATATATTCTTGGTAAATTTATATTGTTTTTGGTTCATACAGATTTATATTTTTTGAATACCAACAAATATAATTTAAAAAAAATAATATTTAATAATCATGTGTTCCCAAAAACGTTTATTTTTTAAAATTTGAAATAAATAAAATGTTATTTAACTTTTGTTTATTGCTTCCAAATAATAATTAGTTTTATATAATTTATTTGTAAAAGCAAAAGTCGGTTATATGTGTGGTCAACTTTGGTTTAGGCAAAAAGAAACGTTGCTTTAAAAATTCTGCATAATTGAAAACAATGGTCATCAGTTGGCCAGTCTATTAATGACTTAAAAAACGTTTTTTATATTTATAAAGATTATGAAAAAAAAACTCAAAATTGTTATTATCATGTTGTTTTATTATCATAATATATCATTTAAGCTTAGTATAAAAAAAACAACTTTTATTATTTGAAACACTAATTTTTGTTATAGATGACCAAAAAGATATTTGATATATTTTTTAATTATATATTTGTAATTTTAATATATACTATTTAATCAGTTCATTGTCATAGTGATGATTTGACTT